AACAATAATCCTAACAGCCATGCGCCAAGCGGCCAATCGCCGTTATACATAGAATATCTGGAACTTAAAGCTTACTAGAAAAAAGTTCAAATTAGGATAACACCGGGTCTGCGTTGACATGCAACGCTCGACGCGTCGATCGAGGTGTATCGGAGAATTTCGTGTTTCTTGTCTGGATATAAATGATCTAACTCTCGCTCTCCTCTCGTCGGAATCACGCGATTAAAAACAAGAATATAAATATTACGATATTATTTTCTATTCGCTATCCATCTCTCGTTGATATTGGATCGTACATTTCCGTAGTGTAGAACATTCTTTCGAAAGAACGCACGCAATTTGCGTTCATCATCCTATTTCTTCTATTTTTTTATTTTTTGTTTTTAACATATTCTTTCTCAATCCCCATATCCCACTCTCGTCGAATATATACGCTCACGTATACGAGTAACATATATTTCTCTTTCTTTATTTTCTGTCCCAAAAATCACAGAGGCATATAATGCACCTCGATGTATGGTGTAAACCTGTACAAAAGTTGTTCCTCGTTTACTCTATACTTATTCACGGTACAATAATAATGTATTTAAAATGTAACTTATGTAACCTTAGTACTGATTAACGATGACCGCATTCCAGCGTGACCAGCCTTTGGCCGACTGGAGCTAACAGACAAGATGCTCCTTCAAGTGTAAAACTCCGCATCTCCCACAATCTATTCCTGTCCTTTTCGCTCACACATATATACACATACACAACACGCACGCACACACACATACACACATGCATACACACACACGCACACATGTATACCCTTTCGTTCTCTCACACTCTCACTCTCGCCCCATCCTTCTCTTTCTCTCATGCTTTCTCTCTTCAATCTTTCTTCCACTCTGCAACACCACTAATACTCTAACTCTATATACTCTATATAAAATATCGTTAGTATAACTAAAACTGTGCTGTGTCCAGCTGGAATGCAGCCCTATTTTTATGCCATCATTATCCGTTTCTTTCCCAGTTTTTCTCACGTCTCCTATATATTCCTCTTCTATCATAAGATAAATCTTTTGTTGTTACACAGACAATTTCCTCGCAGTCAATGATGTACTGATAAATTCATATCACTAACTGTAGTCTGTCATTGGTCGATCGATTAGTTTGATTCCCAGCTGTTCACTCGGCGTCGCAATTATTATTTATATGAATTTTACACTCATTCAACAGTATTTAGAGACAGTCCCTTCATTTTAAGCATTCAGGTTCTCCCCTGCATCCTCAAATTTTCTTTTCTTTCCTCGGACAGGAGACTCCTCTGCACAAACATAATCAATCCCATTGTACAAATAGAAACTCGTTTATATATATGTAATAAATAAATAAAAAGAAAAATGATATATTTTGTTGAAATAATTTCAATATTTGAATATTTACTCTATGTTTGTTGTATTACTTAAAAGACTTCCAGGATTTACTAGCAAACTCTATACTAGACTAAATCTCCAAGAAAAGTGTTTTTGCTATTAGAAAGGATGTATATATAGACTTGTCTTTTTAGCTAAACTTTTTACATCATTTATTTTTCTTTTTTCTCCGTGTTAAAAAGAAAATAAACAAGAAATTCAGTTAAAAAAAATCAATATATGTGTGATAGCTGTTATTTTCATTGATTAGTCGATATCATACCACAAATATAAATGACGTAGAGAGAAGTGTAAAAAAAATCCATCTGCATTTATCCTTTTCTATATTTGATTACGATCATCTTGGATTCAGAGGAGAAACTTATTCTAGTATAGTATTCTAGTCTAGTATAAAACTAAAGATATCATTTCATTTGTCGCACAATAAATTTCTTGAATATATTGATTGGTTCCACAATAATGAAGTTTTCAAGTCTTCAAAAATTTTTTCATATGACAAATAATATCTAAGATTAATACTTTGTAACAATGAAATTTTTTGAACATATTGATTACAAAATAGTTAATCAATATATTTAAGAAATTTGTCGTACAACAAATAAAATATTAGTCTGATGATCACTTTTAAGTTATGACGTCAAAAGCGAGAATTCACAATAAAATATATAAAATAAAAATAACATATTAAAAAAAAAATATTATATAACAAAACAGATTTGTATAGCATTGTAATCTATTATTTATATATTCGAAATATATATGTAAATGTAGTACACAAGTCATAAAGTGACATTTTATAGCATATGATATAATTTTTTATTTAACTACAATTTTATATTTAAAGTAATTGTGTTAAAACATATTAATGTGATTTTGTGAAAACTTTATTTATAAAAGCAAATATTAATTTCAATTTAACTGTTACACAACTGTTACACAATTTGTTCTTGTTCTTGGCTCAATTCACAAACAATTCAATTCTAGATATATATGATCATGTATTAATTACCGAAACAGAAGAGGGATTTTTGATATATTTTAAAAAAGTTATTCTACAAATCGTAAATATGGTTCTATTAAAAAAAAATTTCTTCATTTTAATGTTTTTGCCAAAATTTTCGTCGTGTTTTCTCACTTATGACATCATTATTCTAAAATGGCTGCGATGAATTCTTAAAAATTTTAAATAATTAAGTTCTAAAATTTAAAATAAAAAATAAAATTAATAAAAAGTAATAAGAGATAAATAATAGATTTTTAAATACCTTCCTCTTCTTCCTGTTCATCTTCTTCATTATCTTCGTCATCATCTTCTTCCTCTTCTTCCCCCAAATAATCTTCTTCGTCACTGTCCTATATCCCGATACATGTTTATTTTTAATTTAAGTTAAATGTAATTAGCTCATTTATAATGCTATATTGCTATATAAACAAGCAAAAACATATTTTCATAAAGTGTAACAAAACTACATATTTTCATAATTATAAATAAATATCTAATAAGCGAAAGATCTCGAGACATTCCATCGAGCGTGTTTCTATATCGCGCCAACCGCATTTCCGATTCTCTATAAATTTTCTTCTATAAATTATTTAAACATGAGAGAAGCGAATTATAAACTCACCCCAAACTTTTTTTATAGACACTCTCCAATCCTGGTTCGTCATCTAAGAAATCATCATCTTCTTCATCTGAAACTACTTTTAATACGTATATTTATTACTTAGTACTTATGTGCACATAAACAATTTTTTCATCAATATCTCTAATTAAATTTTTATTTATTATTATTACACAAACTTTCAACTAACCTTCTTCACTGTCATCTTCGTTGCCACCTCCTTCGCCATCTTCGTTTCCATTAACTTCGTCATCATCTCCTTCGCTGTCGACCTCACAATCATCGGCATCAAATCTGAATTCAAAAAACTATCATCAGTTGGTTTCATCAGAAAGTAAACAAAGTAATAAAAAGAATATGATTTATAATTTCATACCCGTCAAGATATCGTAGACTGGGAATAAGATTGAAGACTTTCTCTCTATAATTATCCATATTTGTCACTTCATTGTTGAACAGATCCAGGCTCCTCAGATTTTTGAACTCTTTCTAAAATACAGAGAGGTTTCGTGTTATAGTGACAATAGATGGATCTTTTTAACTTTCTGTAACAAGCATTAGAGAACTTACCAATGGTTGTAATGTGTCAAGATCTTTGATCTTATTTCCACTCAGATTCAAATGAGTCAACTTGGGGCTTGAATCAAGTAAATTTAAGCCGCCCGAAATTCGATTGTCGCTTAACTCCAACTGCACAATACAAAGACAATTTGTACTCGCATTGTTCTTTGAAAGAAGATTTGTTGTATAATAAAAGAAATTATTATTCATTAATTTACTAAATCGCATTTTATAATTATGTATTAATACTTTTAACATGTAATAAACCAATTAGACATTAAAAGCATTAAAAAAAATTATAAAATTCAATTAAAAATTCAATATCTTCAATAATTACTTCGCGACATAAATTTATATATATATACCTTTTTGAGACTGGATAATTTTGGGAAGCCTTTTAGACTGGTAAGACCCACGTTGATGAGACTTAATGACTCCAGGGCACTGAATTCATTTGTCAGACCCACAATTTGTGTACTCCGACAATTATCAAGAACAAGTTCTTTGATCTGTAACATGCACGTGAATCATATAATTAGCTACGGTGATTATTTACATTAATGAAACAAGAGAAAGAGTCACATAAATGTCAAAAGTAGTAAAAAGTAGCTCTCATGCAATTTGTTGTTGATTACATCATAGTTTGCTGAGAGAAATTACATTGCATCGTGCGACTTTTGAAATAATAAACAAATTATCCGAGGATAAAATCGCAGAATTATGGACGCTACCATTTCCTTTCTAAGACATAGTCAAAATTTAAATCAAGAATAATAAGGTCGCGAAGCATCGATATTTTTAAGCTTGCAAATATTTGAGCGTTCATTGTCTCGAAACCGTATTCGAATAGAGATCGTAATCAGGTTGCGCGGCCGCGGGGAACGGGGAGAAGGGGGTTCATGCGCGGTTCGCCCGGAAAGACGCGGACGGATGGCCGTAACGAGACGAGTGTTCGTGGTCGAAAAAGTCGTCCTCCGCTAAAATTCAAACGAGCGATAAGCTTTCGCGGGAGATGGGCTATTTTATTGATCGGAGAAAGAGAAAGGCGCGAGAGGGTGTGAGAGTGGGACCATGGATGGGACAGGGGAAGCGCGCGGAGGTGCCGGGGAGGACGAGGATGATGAGGATGAAGGAGGGAGGGAGAGAAGGGAGCGTGACGGTAAGCGGAGAGTGCATGCCGCGTCTTGTTTAGCGGCGTCGGAAAAGCCGGCGAGCGACAAGCACGAACTGCGGCACGCGACGAGTACGAGGGGTAGGGTTGGATGGAGGGGAGGAGAGGATAAGGAGGGGGGGGGGAGTGAAGGGTGGTCATCATCGATACCGGATACCTCGATGCCGGAAGTATCGATGCCTCCATATTACGTTATCGCGTACGTGATGATGTAATGAGGCGAGGTGTAACGTTCAACATGCGTTTCTACGAGTGACGCCCGATCGAGAATGTTGTCCGAAATTTAAAAAAAAAAAACGGCTTGTTTAGAGTCATCATTGACACTGGAAAATTAAGCTCGTTGAGGCTGATTTTGGATTATTGCCGATCCTGCTAGTACTGTTAGCGATATAACATCTTGCCTTTGTATATCGTGATTACACTAATGTTTCCTCACAAATAGTGTTGAGATATCCTGTTACGATATCTCGACGCATTTAATATTATTACTTCTCTAACGATGGTCAGAGGCGTTGATAGAACGTCGATATGTCGCAAATACGCGCTTCGTGTTAATCAATGATAGATAATCAATAGAAGAGGGAATCAATTCAACAAAAGAATATATAAAATTATATATCATTACATATTTTTATTTATAATAGTTATTTAAAGTAAATATTAATATAAATATGCATATTTTTTATCCATATATTAGTAATTATATTTATATTAAATAAGTTAAGACTACGTTTTACCTTCTATTTATCTTCATCACGGATTAGAAACAGTAATATCAATAATTAGTATCACAATATCAATATTCTAAGAAATAATATATAAAAGAATTATTCTTTTTTAAATAACTTTCCATATTTCTCTTGGAAATCCATCATATGTTCTCTCATTTATGTCTTAATGAGCAAATTCTTTTTTTTTTCATGAAATAAATCTTAAATTTTAGAAAGAAGCTTTACAACGCGTACTGTTCATCAGGAGACCGCGATCGATTTAATTTTCGGTTAAATTAAATCGGTGACATTTTTTTTCTGCCCCGTACTCCTCGCTTGTCTTGCATACTGCGTGCGACCAATAAGCCGGCAGGTTGGTTGTATACTCGGTGTTGCACCGATCACAAAGTTGTAACGTCACGAGATGTCATAGAAGCGGATCAATGACAGTCACGGATCAAAGAAATCAGAAAGACGCGCATACGTTGCGTCGCTAAAATTTTCCGACGTTGCGAAATATAGAATTGTCACGTGATTTCCGTGTACTAGAGATACATATTTCGTAATCACTCAATTATGCAATCGTAGAATTTTAATCTTGATCCTAAGAAACACAGTATTTTCGTCTACGCCTCCGAATATTCGAGTGTCCTTCAGCACTCATTTCCGAAGCCACGTTATATGATTGAACTAAATTTAAACGTAGGACACATCCTTCCATCGCGTTTCGCGAGAATCGATCAGTTTTCATTTTTTTTTTTTGAAAATGCGTAGCCATGTGTCCTTCCGCACGACACGGCACTGTTGCATCCGAGATGCATTGCAAATGCGACGCGGGTGGTCAACGCGAAGGAGGGTAAAGTTTCAGAACCGTAAATATGTAAGAGCTGCTGCTCACAGATTACCACGTGAAAAATTCGGCATCCGTTGAATTCAAATATTTAAAAACAAAGATGAAAGTATTAAAACAATATTGCTTCGGTTATCTCATTTTAATATAATATCGCAAAAGTTATCTAAATATCTAAACTCCAATGAAACTTAAAAATATACCTGGAATTATTAATGCTTTACCGCATGAATTTAGACATATATGAAAAACACGAGAACGATATGCTTCGATATGCGCATAAATTCGAGACGTTAATGAAAATCCCCATATGTATAAGTCTTGAGAATAGAATTTTTAAAAAATTTCGAAGAGAGAAATTTATTTTCGAATTTGTGTCGCACCGAGGCCACTCTCCGTGACGCCACACCCTAGCTACGGCTCTGCGAACGCCTACGCACGCACGAAGCGCGGACGCGACGATGCACCTGAGAAAGTCGGGCGATGCCGGCTGGCATCGGCTGGGCAGGCCGATCATCTCGATTCGGCTCGACGATGCAATGTTACGTTATGTTGCGTCGTGTCGCGCTGCGTCACGCTGCCGCGCCGAAAAATTCATCCATCGTGGCCGCGCGCGAAGCGACTTGCGTGCGTCGTGCGTGCGTGCGTGCCTGATGAGCGCGCGCGCGACTCCGGTTAGTCGGATCAGCCGGCGGGCAGAGTGGACTCGTCCAAGATGGCGGCGCGGCGATTAGCGACTAGCGACGCGTCACGGAACGGGATACGGCAACGGCACACAATCGTGATTCACGCGTGCGACTACGCATGCACGCACGCGTCGTGAACGAGGCGCGATTAATAGCGCGCGCGATCGACGATTCCGACGCCGCGACGAAGCTCCCGGCTGGCAACCAGACGGATGGCTGTGATCCGTGAATGGCGTGAAGGCGTCCCGGCGCCACGCCGCGATGCAATGGCGACGTCCAGGTTGCCTCGTGCACGCGCTTCGTTCATGGCGGCGTGCGCGCGCCTTGGCCGTCTCATTTTACATAACGCGGTCCCTGCCGACGCGACGCGACGCGACGCGACGCGCGCGCAACTCGCTTTTTCGCACGGCGAGGATCGGTGGCGACGCCTTGATGCTAAAAAATACATTAATTGGATAAACATATGTCGCGTTCTTCACGCGTATCACGTAACGATTTCTATCATCGCGATAATCGTAACGAATCGCCCAGAGGGGACGACCTGTAGAAAGTCTAAAACAAGTAGCTCCGTCCCAGCGGGCTACCGTCTGCCTCTCTCTTTCTCTGGCTGTTTATTTAAATTTTCTCGGCATCCGAGCGTCTTTTAACACTCGGATGAAGGAGCGAGACGCTTTTTTTCAGGAGTAGAAACTTTCTCCGCAACTGCGCGCCATCGTCACCGCGCAGTAAGTGTCCTCTGCACTTTAACACGCATCGATGACAAAATGTCAATAGGTGTTAAGTTGACGATGATTACGTCGATATTTTCGGATTGACCAAAAGTACCAAAAGTACCAAAAGTACCAAAAGTACCAAAAGTACGAAGTACCGTTAGTAGATTTCGATATGTCGAACTAGTATATTAATGTTAGAAGTTTTCTTTTCATCATTTTAGCATTCGTTTGAGAAAGATAGCAGCTCATTGCAGCCTTTTTATATCAATTGATGTCACGAATTACGAAGATCTCCGAGAACGATTATTATTGTTGAATTGTATTATTTTTGTTTTATTATAATAAAAAATAACATCAAGCAATAAAAATAATTCGAAAAAAGGCTCTTTAGAAGCGAAAAAAGCTCTTTAGAAAAATAATATTTTGAATATAGAATTCTATATAAATATTTGTACGGAAAAGAACGCAAAAAATAGAACAAAATGTAAAAATTCAGTTAATATAATTTACAATTTTACTAAAAATATCAAACTTCCAATTTAAAAAATACATATTTTAATCTTAAAAAAGAATTATTTAATATCAATAACATATTTTAGCGTATTTTTTTGCATTTTTAAATTTAGTATATTCGGATCATTGTTAAAAATATTTTAAAAGGTATTATCATTTTAAAAGGTATTATTTTTATATAAATTTTTGATACTGAATAAAAATATTCAAGAGAAGATATTCGTTCGTTGCTACGAGGATTTTCATAGAAACAATTTCGAATCTAATCGACATAAAGAAACATATGGAGAAAGTAATAATTCAACTGTGATTCGTTGAAGCAAAACTTCGAGTTCGCTTGAGAAATATATAGAACATCCGAATTTTTCCCGACTTGGATAATCTCTTTCTGGATCGATTCGATCTGTAGTTATATTCGCCAAATGTGTCGAAATTTCACAAATCATCTCTATTAATCGCCATTTCGTCGTTATTACACACATCTGTTGCAGTCTATTACGAAGTTCGGATATGATCACTATTTGGTTCTTTGCAGTCACGTTTAATTAACGAACATTGTCGCAAGCGTTAATGGAGAATTTGATGCGTTTCATCGTCCGCAGTGAAATCCGCGGAAAATCCATTATCGAAGTATTTCACTGATTAACTCTAATCACATTTATGGCACCACATCGGCGGCACCGGCTCTCTCTCAATTACATTTCGCGAAACTTGTGTACACGAACAGTACGCGGAGATATTCGGACAATTGATTTCGCTTTGTTCAAATTTGTTCTAAAAATATAACGTGGACTGATTTTATGTAATTAATTTATTTCCGCGATGTCACGAGGGACATTGCCTTTCGCGCGTTTAAATTATAAATATATATATGTATGTATCGTAAGTAAATCAGAGTTATGTAATTCGGTGTACCGATCTAAGCATTTAAGATTGATTTCCGAGCAGCGATACAATTAAGCAGCACAAATTTTTCATACAATAGCGCAAAGTGATTCATTCCCAAGTCTCCCAAGATTGATATTTATTCGGATGCATAATTTAACACTTATGTAAGTTTTATCGATAATTTTACGCCTGTGCTCTCCGTAAGTCCCGCGGTATTTTCCTTTCTCCAAGCTAAGGGAAATAATATCGAGATACGCGTTTATCCTAAATATGCCCATTTTCACACGGTGAGAAATTAGACTTGAATCAATCCGACCGCGATCCCGGATTTGGGTGTCAACCCGTTCGCATATGTGTGTGTGTGTGTACAAAATACGCGAGTTGCGGTAAACGTCGACAGGAGGAGAGATTCAACGTTTGGGCTGCAACTACATATATATTTGACGCGTTAATTTGGATTATAATTATATTCGACATTGTATAACACATTATGCGCAGTTTGACACATCGACGCAGCTTATCGTATACATTAGAAATCGAATCGCGCGGCCGGACGTCACAACACGAAAGTAAAGTAAGTTCTCGCGAGGGAAACGGGAATCTATCTTCATTTATATTACAAGTAACGCTATCATCCGGAAAGAGATGGCGAGAATCGAGCGTCTTCTCGATCAATCGTTTGCGAGTAAAGTCGGTCGACGACGACGACGACGACGACAATGACGACGACGACATTGCGACGAGATCCACCATTAATCATACGCACGGTGCGCACGAAAGGCGGCCGGTGTCGGTCGCCGTGTTTAGAGGCGCGTGTCTCTTCCCGCTTTCCACGCCACCGGAAAAATGGTAACTCCTCGGAGCGATCGCGTCGTCCTGTGTATGCGTGCATTCGTTCGTTCGTTCGTTCGTTCGTCGTTCGTGCGTGCGTGCGTGCGAGCGCGAACGTAACGAAACGCAGCGATAAAAGAGCAGGCGGGAGGGAGGGAGGGAGGACGAGAGCGCACATACACACGACGTGCGAAGATCGCGAGAAGGAGCGCAAACGGGCGCGCACATAGCCACACACGCGTTGCCTTGCACTAGTTTATTATTTCGGCGGTCGGTCGCGCGCGTCACGAGAAATTCGGACGCGACGTGATACCGCTGATGATCGCTGCGGGATCACTTCCGCGGGCGAGGACGCGATTGGTGATCGCTGTCGGCCGAGACGCCGCGCGATAACAACAATGCGAAATGAAGCGTAGTCGGAGGAGTCGAAAACGAGGCAGGCATGCGGACGAATTAAGACAGAAGACGGAAGGAAGAAAGGAAGAAAGGAAGGAAGGAAGGAAAGAAGGAAGGAACGAAGAGGAAGGAGGAGTATAGGAAGACGCGAGAAATGGAGCAGTCCGCGAGATAGGAGCCGCAAACGCGAAACGCGAGCCACGTTTCCTATTCGCGCGAGGCAGAGAGCGCGTGAATAGAAGCGCGAGAGAAAGAGAGAGGGAACGGGAGGTCTCTCCGGTGCGCCATGCCCGTTGCTCGCTTGCGGCCATGCATCGTCAGTGCGCGTGCATATGTCCCCCGGTCGGCGCGAGGAGGCCGATCTCTTAACGACGGGACGATCATGCGGCGGTCGTCATCGTCGTCAGAGACGGAATTCGCTCGCACGCGAATTAGGAATGGCGAAAGAGAGAAAGAGACGGACGGAACACAGCGTGCCACATTAGCGGGTGCGTGGTTGTTGTGTCGCCGCCGAAGCGTCGAGCCAACGCGGCGGCGGATTCTGTCTTCTATTTCTCACTCTTTCTTCCTCACTCTTTCCCCCCCTCCTCTTTCTCTCTCTTTTTCACGAGCACGATAAACGCCACTATTCAACACGATCATGCGGTTTTCATAGATCTACGAGATCCCCAGAGCGGTTAATGACGATGACGATGAGAATGAGGACGCACATTTTGGAAATTTTGCGATGTAAACGCGCGTAATCCACACAATCGTAAACGCACGTTGGTCCACAGTCGGGGTGCGTTGGAATAAAGCAGCGCGTGCGGAAACGCGGAGAGTGCGTCCGTGGAACCACACGTCGTAGAGGAACGCGCGCGCGGAGGGCAGGGTGAGGAAAGTGCAGTGGAGAGATAAAGGTTTGAAGGCGCAGGCGGCGCGAAGCAGCGCAGTAAAAGAAATTTGAGGGTTGCCTTACGTCGCCGGGCTTCTTTCCCCGCTTTTCGAGCTCTATCCGCTTCTCCATGGCCGGCAATCGGTCCCCGATCCGCTCGTTCTCGCTTCACTCCGTACGCGCACGTATCGCCGTCCGTCTCTTCCTCCTCTTCCTCCTCCTCCTCCTTCGCCTCCTCCTCCTCTTCCTCCTCCTCTCTGCGTCGCAACACCGACTACGTGCCAGCAACCTTGCTCTCTCTCTCACTCTCTCGATCTGGGAATATAATATGACGGACGGACACAGCCGAACCAACACGGTCGGTCACCGGGCAGTGCGCGGACAGCGAATGCCACCCGACAGTGGTTGCTGCAGTGCGTTGCGTGCCCGCTTGACGTGCGTGTGCGTCGCGCGTTCCCGTGGCGCGCTACCAAGATATGGGGAATGTGAGAGAAACCACCTTCGACACCCGCGGTTCGATTCCGGTCTGCAAGCCCTTACGCGCCGCGTCTCTACGTGTCTCTACGCTCGCCGACTCGCCGGACTTGTGTGGCGCGGTGTGTCCTCCTCTCCTCCTCGCTCCTCTCTCACCCCCTACCGCCGCCCCTCCTTCCCTCTCCTCCACACGCAACACAACACAAGCCGCACCGGAGGCGGGAAACGAGACACATGTCTGGCACTACTTTCGAAGCGGCCAATCCGGACGGCCGGCGCAAACCACCGCGCGCCACCTGTCGGCCGTCACGTTGAATCATTGGAATGGCGAAGCGCGCCACTCTTCGTCGCGTTCAAATATGACCACAGCCTGCGTCACCGGACTAACTAGAGTGATTTTCTATAAGTTCTTCATAGCCACATCCACATTTTAATAAATGTCTATCATTAAATCGATTATCAACAAGATATAATAGTTGTTTTTAAAAATACATTTTAAATTGATCGAGAAAACGGTCAATGTATTATGATCGTTATTTTCAAAATACATAGCAATAGTCTAAACGATTAATAAGAGATTAAATTATGTTCTAAGAATTAAGTTTATATTTGATTTTAAAAAAATTGTTCAAAATTGTAACAGCTATTATCAGTTACTTAATTATGATAATTCTTTTCAAAATCTACAGTTTAATGTGCAAATATTTAGATTCAATATATCCAATTTAAAAATGCCTACTTGAAAAAATGGAATATGTTAACAAATTCTTTATATATTATTACAACTGCTTCATGACTATCTCAACCCTTACAAAAATCTAATTTAATACTGGAAATTACATATTTGAAATATTAAAAGCACTAAACAACAATGTTTTTAATACTGAAAATAAATAATTAATCACTATTTTTCATATTAAATTTTCTATAAGGGAATATTATTAAAATTTAACAATATGACTTTACATTAAGAAAATAAATGTAAAAAAGTCAATCAATCAGAAGATATGTGATGCAGAAAAAATGTATATTGAATTTTTAATTTTTAGATGTTTTAGAATTTTTAATGAATAATATAATTATTGACGCAAGACGATATAAATTTCTTGAGTTTAAAAATATCTTGTAAATAAAATAAAGACTAAGAAAAACTCCTCTAATTGAATTATTGCAAATGAGAATTGAACGCTTAATATTTAATTGCTTTTGATATTTTCCGCAACAATCATTTTTTACAAAAGTAAATTACACAAAAGTACTCATCATATCTTCTTATTTACTTATTTGATATTTATATGCATATTATGTAAATATGTATTAAATAAGTGAATAATTATTGCTAATTAATAATTATTGCTAATTACATTTAAATAATATCTTGAATGAATTTTTCTTAAGATGAGATCCTCTCGAATTCTACTTACAAACTTTATTTCAAATGTATTTGAATAATCAAATTCCAAAATATCCGATAAAGTTTCTTATGTTATCGACAAAAAGTATTCAGAATTCTATTATAAAATTATCAATATGTGCGATCATATTTATTGATTCGAAGTAGTCGAAGTGTGTTTTTATTTTTTGTTTAATTTTCATTCGTTCTAATAAAGAACAAATTCAAAGATAATATCATTAACCCTAATTCAAATTAGAGTTAATGATATTATCTTTATTGAACGTTCATTGTACATATAGAGTAATCGCCTGCTTTTCATTCAGTCTAATTGTACGTAATGCATCTAATAAATATTACGTAATATTTTTTCTGTAATGTCAGCTTTCTGATACTTTACAAAATTAAAAGAAAAATAATGAAATTGCGGGCTGCGAGAGGCCTATACCGACATATATAGGCAAAACTGAAATTCTCAAGTTTTCAAATTCTGTCAATATTGAGTTAGAAGCGCAATCTTATCGCGTTTGTACACCGTATCGTTTCCAAAGCATCTAGAGAACGAAACCGATATCCGCGATGTCTCGCTTACGTCTCGTTGTTCGAGAGCGCTCCAGGCCTCACACGGATGCGCGCACATCCGGAAATTTTCGGTCGGTCTCGCCGTGAACCCCCCCCCCCCGGGGGGAGGGAAAGTGGATATTGTCTCGCTTTCGCATATGGCCCGTTCGTTCGACCCGCGTTTCGAGGCTTTTGGGCTTTGAATCAGAGCTTGTCGCGCGCGCCAAGCGTCCGGGAAGATTCCAACGCGATATACGCACCACGCTCGTGGCGATCCGCCTCTGCGGGTGTCGGACACCGACGAAAGGCTGAGATCAATATGCGCTCATTGATTGCACCGTGGCTGCGCTGTCGCGTCCTCCTTCTCGGCGCTGAAGCCGCGCGCGACGAGCGGCACGTTTCCGACCCGTATGACATTGAAATTCCTGATGGCCGATTCTATCCGATTACGGCCAGCGTCGCTGATTCTACGTTTCTACAATCGTGATGCCCGGTAACGCCGATGTCGGCGTCGATGAAACGAGCCCCAATGGTCCTGACCACACGTCAAGTTGTGTCACGTCTCCGATCTAATTTCTTAAATTTAATTGCCTGATGTATTTGATAAAAGTCGCTCTGTAAAGGAAGGACGCATGAAGTTATCGCATTGCGTCAGATACAAGCACTTTGATAAAACGTCTAATGTATATTCCGCTAAATAATAATATGAAATATTTAATTCACCTTACCTTTTTCTTCTATTCGACATTAAGTTATATTAATATAATTATCTTTTAGTATTATTTATTTCATGTGCTGAAAATGAAAGGTAGTTGTGATGCAGTTACAAAGAACAGACATACAGCTCATTTTCTGTGGTTGAGCTATTTTTTCCTTTTTGCCATCTTTTTTGCTTTCCAACGGCTAATTATACACTTATTTCGCTTTAAGTGCAGAAAGTACAATGCAGTGCAACTACAAAGAATTTAAAATCTGCAAGGTTTATTTTTCGTAGTTGTATAACGTATTACGCTTCCTGCATTTAAAATAAGCGTACAAAGTAGACATTAAATAGAAAAGGATGGAAGATGAACGGTATAAGAAGTACAGAAATTCAGCTACAAAGAACAAACTTATTCAAACTTCATATTAATTCTTAGTGTGCGCCATAGTAGAGTAGGTGGTTGAATTGGCCGTCAGATGGACCAAATGTTGCTAAATCTTGATAAAATGAATGTTCAGCAAGCTTGAGCCATTATCATGTAAATAATGCATGATTTACAAATCGAATGGAAAACACGTGTGAGCTTCCATAAAATAAAGTGTGCGTTTTCTTCTGTTGCAGCGATAAATCTAAACTGGACGCGTTCATTGTTCACCAAACCATTTTAACAGAATTGAGAAAGTTACTTTTGAAAAGTAACTCATTATAGTTATTTGTTCATTGAAAAAATAACTTGTTACCCTTAATCATTACATATTTAAAGAAGATAATTTACCATTTTTAAAGAAATAATAAGTTGTTATAATGAGTGACCTTTTCAGAACTGAATATTAATATAGATGACAATTCTGATTTTTTTCTGAATTTAGAGAAGAAATCTCCTTCAACAGATTCAACAGATTTTATTCCTTCACGAGATTACATTACCAAAATATTAAATATGTCGATAATTAAATTATATGCGTCCAATGCAATTTTTTTTTTTGGAAGACCGATTACTGGCAGAATATTAATCTGAAAGTGGCAACCATAAACATGCGTACTGATTCTTTTTTCAATCGATCTATTTTTCGCACGCATTCGCAGAAAGCAATGATACCATGGTCAGATTTCGAATAAGTTCGTGCAGCTCGTTAACCAAAATCTTTTGATTATTACGCGGTTGTTATGTGCTCGAATAGTTTGCCGGTTCTAGGGGGTGTTTATACACACCGTAACGAGAAACTTAAATTCCGCATGATACATTAACGTGTGCGTGTGGAGCAAAAATTAAATGCGATTCAATCACGTGGGTGACGCGATAAAAAAGATATATTTGCCAATTGGCATGACAACTGCTCTAATTGCTCCATCGATTATTCTTACATCTCTTTCAGAATTGCGTATTAGTTAGAAGTAGAAGATGGGAGGGGGAGGGGGGAGACAGAGAGAGAGAGAGAGAGAGAGAGAGAGAGAGAAGAGAGAAAGAGATACCTTCTATAAAGCTTGGAATTTCCATATTTTTCGTAATTGTACCTTGAAAGTTAATAAGATGCTTATTAACTTTCATATTAACATCAGTAATAAATTATAATTTAAATTATTAATTTAATAATTATTAATTTAATTATTAAATTAATAATTATGTTAAATTATTAATTTAATAATTATGTTATAATTTCAATGTGGATTGAAATACTTTTCCATATCAAATAGTGGTAAAGAAACGAGTTTCATCAAAAGTATAATTAGAAGCAAGATCCTACCCAACGATCAGAGAAGCCTATATCTGTTTATGCTGTGTTATATACACATGATCAATATTCATTTGGTGAAGCTTTTATATTTTGTTTTTTCAGATTATTCTTTTCTTCCTTCATTAAAAATACGCATACTTCGATAGTCGCATCCCCGAGTTAAACGCACGGATCGAAGAGTTCCCGCGTGTCCGCGTTCATTCATGAAGCCATTTCTTTTTCCCTCGCATGCAGGTATCAGACCGATCGCACGACGATTGACCTGAGAAATAAGCAAATATGTGCGCACTAATGGAGATCGTTGCCTAGTCGCGTATGGATTACACGCGACGTCGTCGTATTTGTGCGGCCAATCAAATTACGCAGCTATAAATAGAAGCTGCCGTGTTACTTTCTTCAATCTCTGTCTTTCCTCGTGCGCGCGGCTTATATTGCTATTCACATTCACCTCTTACAGCCTTAATACCTTATTTTTACATTATTGCTGTTAAAATCGCTCGACACGCATTTTAATAGATCAATCAGATATTATTTATATGGATTATGAGAACACTTTGGATATTCTGTGGTACACTTATCCTGCGAATCTCTCAAAGATAAAAAAAAAGATGCTTGACATATTGAATTATATATAATATCGTATAATACTAAAAGATCAAGATTTGTAATAGAAATGTATTTATATTTAAATCCTTCTTAGAAAGTCAATTTTTTAAATATGATGCTGATAATACTG